AAATTCATTTAAGTAAGATGACATAAATTGAAGTCTCTTAGCAGTCTTTGAGAGAATCCAATGGTAACATAATGGGTACTCATGGGAATAACAGCTTAATTGTAAAAAATAACTGAATGTGACAGCTGTTACCTTTCTCTTTGGGATCAAATGGACTTCAGTCTTTCACTGTCATTCTCTTTGCCTGATTCATTTTTCTGCTTTCCTAGCACATAGTTTAATCTAAATTGTTGGAAATGTGCTTTGTATACCTTATCGAAGTAACTTCTGTATAATGCAGTCATAATATTTTGTCTCTCATTTTGGGGGCATATATTTGTTCTCCCGATGGTATTTCAAACTACACATCACCTTTGAATCTTCACTCAAGAAGCACAAATTCGAATCACATAAGAGAGATAAAGAGGAATAGAGAGGGTGATACAGCACGCACACTTTCACAGGTGTCTTCAGAATAGTAGATTGAACTATTCAAGAATATTGATTTAAATCAGTGAATTTAGTATGACTGTATTTTATTTTGTCTGGTAACTAACTGGTGTAGCCAGGATTTGCTATGAGAACAATTACATACAGGACATAAGATTTATAGTATTATTTATAATGGTCACTCAAGGAGTCAAATACAAAGAAAGTCAGGAAATTTGTCCACAGTGCTAAAGATCGAGAAAATCCAGCCGAAAGCCTGGACCCCATGGTAACAACCTGCATTAATTCAGCTGAAGATCAAGAGCTAATGACAATGACTGATTCTGTGAACAGTTCTTGGGTGGGCCATCCACGCTCTGCACCACACTGATTCAGTTCAGCTGGTGTTTGAGTTGATGACGTTACCAGTCCACAATATTAACTTTGTAAGAGTCATAATTGCCATTTTTTAAAAAACAGTATTTCCTACGTGATGGTTATTAAAACTAATAATTAGAAACAAACAAATACTATGAAGATTATTAAAGATAAAGAACATAATATAAGAGGGTTCTTTGGCTTTAAATTCTCCATTAATTTATAAACTGATGCTACCATTAAGATGATTATTTTAGAATATCCCTGAAAAACAGGTTTTCATATATTTAGTTTTATAAATTTTATATATTTATATAATGATAATCTTATTATAGGTCTTATTAAGTAATGGGTATTAATAAATAATACATATTATTATAAGTAAAGTAAACATCAATGTTGTTTGCAAAAAATAATAACAATGCTTATCCCTTCAGCAAAGATTTCTAGAATTTAAATGTGTAACAATTTGAATTACTCTCATAGATATATTAAAAGCTGTTGTCATTCACACACAGATGGGAATTTGCGATTTTGAAGATGTTTTGTATTGTGTTGTGAGTCAACTTTGAACCAGTATATCATGAAATGCAATGATCTATAAAGAATTCTTTAGAAATAGATGAATGTCATACATACAACAAAAATTTGAATGCAGCTGCAAATAATTTATAGAGAATTATTTTGGGGCATCAAAATTTCTGAGAAACTGACACAGGATACTGGTAATAACTGGAAAGTCTCAAATGGCACAGAAGGCATGAAAGGTCACCCTGATGGTTTCAACCGAAAACCTCAGAGCCAGCAGTGCTTTGTCACAAGCACAAATGGTCTGAAACAAAGCAAGTATTCCTGAGATTTCAAAGAAGGAAATTTTGCACTATGCAAAGTAGCTAGAGGTGATGTCTAGAACTCTATAATTAGTCAATGAATGTTTATTTTGATAGAATAACGCCTGTATCAGTTCAGTGGAAAACTTGAAAGCAATGCTCAGTAAGAGAGCCGTGGAATTCTGTTGCCACATGCATTCTATTCTCTCTGATAATGATAGCTGAATTAAAACCTCATGGGAAAGTCGGTTATTTTTTTTTTCAGTCTAAGTTTCCCCTGAATTGTAAATTATTACTTTTCTCAACATAACTATGATGGTCGCTTTCAACTTCTGCTGTGAAACAGCAGTTCCCAAAGCCAAACTGACGTTTAGGAACATGGTGGGAATCTCCCAGAAGTCTTGCACAAATAGTATGGATTTGTTTGGTAAGAATTTATACAGGAATAACCAAGATCCTTTAGAACATTCAAATTCCTGACAAATCTCCCTGGTATTGATGAACTGAACTCTTGAATGGCAGGAATGCTACTGCACTTTTTGTCTCTGTAATCCAGAAGCTTATGCAGATATTTGCTGGATTACTCGCAACTTGTTCTTCTATTGAAAAAGCCCCCAGACAGATACTGCACCCATCTAACAGTAATACACATGAAATCCCACAAAGATAAAATCCTTCTCAAAATGTTTCCATTACTTACACTCAATTCAGGATACAAATTTTGCTCCTGAAATCTTGTTTGCCCATTTCCATAACACAGTTGGATCAAAATGAGAGATTAATGCAGTGAATAAGTAAAGCATACATGCAAATTTTTCCTAAAATATTCCAAAGCAATGATATGTTGTCTTGAAGCCAAACAGTCAGCTTTATATATGTAATATACCACACCAGTACCTAATGACTTAAACAAAAAAACATTCTAGAGGTTAGAAGGGTGGTGATGATGATATTATTATGTAACTAAGAGTACCTTTTAATCTTTTGTGAGTCAGATGGACACGTTTGCTGCTTTTGCTTGGTCTATGTTTAGAAACCATACTAAGGCCTATACATTTGTTCCACTGTATCCTCATGGCAGCCCTTCACTCCACGGAACTGAGAAGTATGTGAATCTTTTTGAATCCTAGGAAACAGAATGACAATATTTTTGCCAAATTTAGTGGCCAAAACAAATCACAATCCCAGTCCAAATCCCAGTCCAAATCCCAGCCCAAATGTAGGAGAAACAGACTCTTACATTGTATCGGAAACACTATAAAATAAAATTCCCAGTATGAGACACAGAAAATATTAAAGAACTGGAAATTTCTATGGTTTATCAGTAGTTTATATCTCCAAAAGATTTTCATTATAGAAAGTAGAAAAAGAAAATTAAAAAAAGAAATGGAAAGGAGATCAAATAGATGTCTTGTGAGTAGTGAGTGGACTCAGAACTTAACTAGCAGCCCACATAAAACCATGGAAAAATGAGTTCTCATGCTGACTCTTTAGTCTGTGATATTTTACCTTGGCCAACGTACAAATTTTCTAAAATTTTGTTTTATTCTTTAAAAAATAGAAGATTTGTCCATTCTGGGACAGAGTAATTTCTGTTCCAGAGAACACAGTCATGTCCCTATTAGCGGTCATAAAAACTGGAAGTTAATGATAAGACTTTTAGTGTACATTATGAAATACAAAAAGATATATCTAGAAAATAAATTATTGATGGTATCATTTTTGCTACAGAAAAGCTCAGCAAATTCTGCTGGTAATATGCTTTTTAAAGTGAGGCCTGGATTTGGGGCTTTCTTGTTGAGTCAGCTCTGCTAGATCAGGAGTCTGCATTACTTATAAGGCTTCAGTTAGGTAGTAACTGAAAGACCATCATTTCTAATATGCATGGTAGTGTAAAAATATTTGATTCAAAATATTATATGTGGTTCTTGAAAAACATCACATTCAAAAATTCAAAACTGCACTTTGCAGAAAGTAAATCTTTTATTGATCATAGTACTTTTCTGCAAATAATTTTACATGGAACATACCATGTATAAAAACTTACAAGATGCTTTGTATCTAGTGAAAGTATTTGAGTATGTTTTTTTTTTCAAATTAAATTATTCCTAAAATCAAACATTAAAGATTTAGATGTTTATAAAAAACTTTTTAATATGTAAGAGTAAAGATCTGGAAAGTATTTGATTAGGTTGATTATGCAATCAGTTTATTCACAAAGCTAAAAAAATGAGTTAGGTTTTCTTTTCTTTAGAACTGAGCTGCTTGGGCTACCTCACTATGAGTCACTACTTAGTAGAGAGAAGATTACAAGATCTTCCCTTCATTTTCTTTGTTCCTGTGTGTGCATGCATGCATGCTTGTGTGTGCGCGCGTGTGTGTGTGTGTGTAAGGGATCAGAAAGAGAATTTCTAATGTTTTTCTAAGCACAATTCCAACACTCTACTCCCCTACTTCAAAAAATTGAGAGAGATTAGCGAGGTTAAAGACATTAGAATCATATAAAAACATCTAGTGAGGAATAAAGACTATAATTTAATGTAACAGTTTCCTGTATAACAAAGCACATCAGAATATTCCTGTTGTACACTGAAGAGTAAAATCAATGCAGCACTTTGTTTCCTTTAAATGTCATTAACTTCAACACAAGCATGACACATGAGTGTTTAGTTCACCCTTGATTTATGTCCAGTATATGAACATAACTTCTAAGATATCTTCATGCTTTCATGTTTTGTACTATTTTTCTGCTTTAGAATACACAATAACACATGTTCAAAATCTTACTAGAAGTTTCATTTTGAGGCACATGCCATAATTGCACATACTTATAGAGTGATGTGATATGATACAATAACATTTGATAGTTATCAAATCAGTGTAATTAGCACATACATCACTTTAAACATTCAACATTCCTCTTCAGCAAATGCATTCCAAAGCCTCTCTTCTAGGTAATCTTTAGTGTTTGTTGTTGGGTGTTTGGTACCACTGTACTGGTTGAAAAACCTTCTCCAGCCCTCCCTCACTCATGTTCCTCACTCTTTGCTCTACATTCTACTTCTGCCGGGCTGGCTCCTGTCGATTCCACATGCGTTAAGGCTTGTGTCCCCCCAAAGCATGACTGCCTCCAGGTTACATGATGCTGCAGTTCAACTGTGCAATGCTGGGAATATGCTGCTCCTAGATTGAAAGATGCATGATTACTAAATTAATCCAGTAGTTAAATTAATCCAGTAGTTAGTAGTTGTGGATGTGGGTAATGCAAATGCCCACTCTGGGTGTGGGTGGCACCAAACAGAAGGCAAGTAACCCAGGTGGGATAAAAAAAAGACTTTTGTCTCATTTTTTGCTGTTTCTGCTCTTGCTGCTTTCTGTCTCCAGCCTGGCCACCATGAACTGTTTCTCCTCTTCCCATCTGCCACACCATCCTTCCTTGTGACCAGCCAACTGTGAGCTGAAGCTTCTACAAATTGTGACCTACGGCGACCTTTCCTACTTTGACTTTTGGTACCTGGTCAGTAATGAAAAATTTACTAAGACACCATGTGAGTAAGACTGCATTTGTGGAGTTGTGCTTGGTTAATTTCATTTATCATACTGTATTTGTGTTCTTCTGTATTGTCTTGAATGTCAGCTTTCATCATTTTAAAGACGGTAACATTCCATGGACTATCTATGCCATATTTTCTTTATCCATTCACTCATCGATTGACACATAGATGACTCCATATCACACTACTGTGGTAGTTCTATAATAAACAGGAGATTACAGATATCTCTTGGGATACTGACTATTTCTTTTGGATGTATGTTTGATCATCAGTATCTCTGTATTTTGTACTTACATGTTCAGTGAAGATCACAACTACTTAGAAAAAAATTGCATCTGTACTGAAATAGTGTCTTGTCAATATTCCTTAAACCATATGGGTTAACAACTATTTGCATACCGATTGCATAATATTAAGCTTTATAAGTAACCTAGAGATGATTTAAAGAAGATGATAGAAAGTATGTAGGTTATATGCAAATTCAATTCCATTTTATATAAAGGAATTAAACATCTGCAGATTTCGTTATCCACAGAGTTCCAGAAATTAATTCTCCAAAGAAAGTCAGGCTACTGTATGCCCAGAAGAGGGACTGCAGAATCCTGTGGTAATTTTGTATTTCAGTTTTTGAGGAACCTCACATTATTTTGCATTATAACTGTGCTAATTGCCATGTTCACCAAAAATGTGCAAAGGTCACTTTTCCCTATGCTCTTTCCAAGAGTATTTTTTATAACTGCTATTCTGATAGTTGTGAGGTAGAATCTCATTGTGCTTCTGATTTGTATTTCCGTGATGATCGGTGATGGTGAGGGTTTTTTTCAAATATTTGTTGGTCATTCATATATCTTCTTTTGGGAAATGTGTATTCAGGTCTTTTGCTCATTTTTTTAAAATTTTCCAGTATTTTCTAATGCACTGATGGAAATAAATGGCCTATGCTTCCAGCATCAGTGGCTTTTTACCAAACATGAATTTCTGCTGAGAAAACTTAGGGTTATTACCTTAAAAGAGATGTGTTATTTTATTTTTCTGACAATGAAAGGCCTCTACAAGCCCAAAGTCAAATGCAATTATATACTATAGAGCAGAATAATAGAACACTGCACTAGGATAAATTTTGTGCCCACTTAATTGAAACACTTGCCAAGGAGCTGGGTGAGAGCAATGTATTTCAATCATTCTAAACAATGGATAAATGAGACACATTCCTTCTAAATGACACATTTTAGCTGTCTGGAAGCCTATTCACAGTTGTGCGTGCAGCATAAGTTTGCCACTATGTTGCTCACAATTGGTCCATTTCAAGCTGTGCTTTTAAGTTGTTTATTCCAAAGAGCTTTCTTAATATGAGGAAAAAGAAAATATTTTTAGAGTTAGCATACATACTGATATTTTTCAGCACTCTCTAGAATATATATGTTCAGATTGTATTTCTGTCTTTGCCCTTTGCATGCATATCTGTAATGCATGTCTATTCTTATTTTTTGTATTAAATCAAATTTACATTAATTAGTTTTATACAGTGTTGTCCTCCTCAACTCACTGTTGTTTGCTGCTTTTTAAGCTCAAGAACACTGATTGAACTATTCAGTAGTTCAAAAAATAAAAAAGTGAATTTATTCCAATTACAGTATTCCTATGTATCCTGTATATTTTTGAGAAAAATGGCCTGAGAAGAGACAAAATAAGGAAAGATAATTTATTCCTAAAGAAAGATAAAACAAAAGAAGAGAAATCAGAAGCAGGGAGCACCTGTTTAAAGAAGTATAGGCAGAGATCATCTGTATAATTCATCACCTAAACCATGATGCTTTGGGGAATGAAAGAGGGTGTTAGTTACAAAAAAGGACCACAGATATAAAATGAAACTTTCCCAGGTAAACCAGAATACACGGGTCTACTTCTGACCTTAGTACATGTTTACTAATGTGAGTCATATCTTTCAAATTATATGACATATTTTTAATGTGGTTTATTTTTATTTATAATCCACAAACTGCTTGAAGACAAAGGACTAAGATGGTGATAGCATTTCAAGATTGGCATATTTTCTTTTATAAGAGAGTATAAAATTGACTTCCCTTCATGATTGGGAAATTCAAAACTCCTAAAGAATCTCTGAATTTTAAGGTGCTCTACAGATTAATGTAGATTAGGTATAATTCTGTTAAAGTTATAATTATATCACATGACAAAATAATGATTACACGAAGAATTACCCCTTTGGTCAGGCCTTTTTAACATTTCTTAGTTAAAATTACATGTCTGTCTCTGAAAATGTGATGATTTACAAATGAACAGTTCAGGAGAACATGAAGGATAGGGAACTTGCTCTTAATGTCTGCTCTAAATCTTCTTGTCCAATGTGTTGGAGAATTTCCTTTTGTAGGCTCGCATATCTTCCAAGAAGACAGTCTGTGTTTTCTTTGCTTAATTTTAGAAATCACATCATTCATACTTGAATGACTGAATAATTATTCATGTCTATAGTAATTCTACTTATCTTTCTTGTATTCCTGCACTATATTTCTATGGCCATATGTTAGAGAGATGAAATAAGGGAAAAAGAATAGGTCCTCTTAGAAGAAAATAGCATCAAAGCCCCCTAATACAGAGAAGTGAACAGAAGAAATAACAATACCTAGCTCAGATGTCACCTCATTACATGTAGATAGAGTTAAAGTCAATTGCTAAAAAGCTAGGAATTGGGTGCAAGGTTGGAATAAAAGCTCAGCTCTCAGTTTATCATAGAGAGCAAAAAAAAAAAAAAAGAGTTTATTTTTGTTGGTGAACCTAACTAAATTAGAGAATCTAAACCATATTCCAAAAGCCTGAAGATTTTGAAGGATTTTATACACTATTTTACAAGGAGAGTTCAGAAGAATTGTAGAAGATGAAGTTCTGTGTTTGTTCACATCCTTTGATATTCAGAGGTTTATTGAGTTTCAACAGAGTGAGGAGAAGCCAATTGATGGTTCTCCTCCTCATAGACTGTTAGGAACTACTTCCTACTCTGAGTAAAAATTTGTGTTACAGAAGGCAGGGACAAGGAAAATTAGAAAGCTAGTTAATAACAATATTTGAGGCCTTTCGATTTCAGAATCTGGAGTTTTCTTTGTTTAAATTCTCAATTCCAAGATGAGAATTGAAAGAGTTTTTCCCTAGAATAAATTACTGTATGATTATGGTGGCGGCGGAAGGCCAACGTGGAAATGCTTACCACTTCCTGCTTCTTCCTCAGCCTTAACTGCAACTCTCCTTCCTGTTTTCCTGTAAAGAAAATTTCAATCAGCTCCTAACTCATCATCAATGCCCGCCCTAGCACCACCCTTGCTCAAAGGTTACATATTTCCCATACCCTCCATATTCTGCTTAAAGGAGACAGTGAAGCCTCCATGGGTTGTGTGCTCCTTCCCACGTGCTCATCTTAATAAACTTGTGTTTTGTTTTGTTTTGTTTTTGTACTTTTACTTTTCTATTGCACTAGCAAACTTTCAAGAATATCTTCTTCCTTTGTATGTTGGGCCATGGTGGAGGGAAAGGTGTAACACAATCTATCATTTTTATCATTTTTAATTTTTTTATTTCTTATATCTTTACAACCAGAAATACTTTTTTTTTCTACTGCTATTGCAACTTAAAAGAGAAATATAATGTAAGATAATCATTTTGTAGGTAACAATATAAAGATTACACTTAAGTATATTCTGTGCAAATTTATGGATCACATTTCCACTGAGGTGGTACATTAGGTTTAACACTGCAAAAACTTATATTAATATATTTTAAGACTAATTAACTCGCAGTTCACACTTTTCTCAACTGCTCATCATTAACTAATGTATAGTACAATAGATGTTATAGTTACCTTTGTGATAAACATAGGCAGCATGAGATGATTTTGGTAAACAAATGCACCATATTTCCTTGGTCTAGATGCACTTTCTTCAAACTAAATAGTTTGAAACCTATGGAAGTTTAGACTACTGGGTAATTCTGTTATTTTCAGTTTACTGTTTTTTATTATTGTATAAATATATAAGATCTCTATGTTAAAATACAATCCTAGGAATATTCTTTACAGGTTTATAAAAAAGTTGCTGAAGTACATCAGAACTTATAACCTGTCCTAGTGTTAAATACATCATTTTATATGAGATAGAGTCTCCGGAAACTAGTTTCAGCTCTTTGTTTTATTTCTGCTATTTCAAAAAGAAAAAAAAAATAGTATTCTCCACAAATGTTGCTCTAGAAACTTACATCCAATAGAGTGTTTATATCTTTGTATCTCTCAAGTCACATAAAAAATAGACAGAAAATGTGGCGTATGTGTTAATTTAGGTAGATTTTTCCATAGAAGTCTATATATTCTAGAGAACCCTGAGAGGGGAAAACAATTCTTCTTGACTATAGGTCTCTACGGAAATCTTAAGTAACAATATTTTTAAAAAATCAATAATTCTAGTAAAGCAATTTCATACTACATTATTTCCAAAATTTTGTAAAAATAAAAATTATACTTTAATGCTTTCTATTTACTAAACTACATTAAGTTTTGCATTTAGTGTTTTGCTATTGCAATACCTAAACCTGTACTGAAAAACAAATAATTGAATTTATGGAATTGTTCGAGAAATTTCTTTGGAACTATTTACATTACCTATATTTTTATTTATACAAGTTAAATAATAATTATTCAAACAAACTTTACTAAAACAAAAAAGAATAATAATAATAAAAGACATTGATTAATAATAATAATTGATACATATTTTTCTTGTTGTAACTGAAAACTGCCATGGAGCTCATCATAATGTATCTTTCTGGAGCGAAGGTTTTAAAACAGAGGAAAACTACCTATAATTCCAACTTATTTTTTAAAGAATACCTACTATTAAGAAATATTTGCCATTGATTGATTTTTAAGATCACTCGTCTTCTCTGGATGTAGTTTTAAACATGTCTTTTGGGAAAGGTGGTCTACAGAGCTT